TTTCTTTCTTTCTTTCTTTCTTTCTTTCTTTCTTTCTTTCTTTCTTTCTTTCTTTCTTTCTTTCTTTCTTTCTTTCTTTCTTTCTTTCTTTAATTTGTGGTGTTTTATAAGAGATTCTTAAGTCTAAATGAGCACAAAAAAGGGTTATCGATCAGTTGTTTATGCTCAGGATAGAATATTTATTAATCTTTACTACTGGATAAGTATATGTAAGGATTGTTTTATTATTTTGATGGTTGTCTAAAAAAAAAATTGAAGGATGAATAAAATAGGTCAGGACATGTATGAATCATTGATTTCATGGGTTGTGCAGTTGGTCAGATAGCTCTTTGTGAGCCTGATGTTTCAACAGTGTGAAATGATCAATCTGACTGCAAGGAAAATAGGCAGAGTACAAAATACAATGTTTGGCACAAAGTGTAACTACTATAAACGGTGAACCACTGAAACACAAATGCTGGTAAATAGTATCTGACAGTGTAGTTGTATCTTTCTCTCTGTCTGATTTTGTTCATTTTTACCATTACAAATATAATGAGTTCCCTCCACCTCTGTGTCTCCCCATCCTTTCATCCACTTATCTCCTCTAAGAGTATACTATGCTGTATTCCAATATCAAGCTGCAGAGCTACATAAAATAGCCTTTATAGACAAGCAGTTTTGCCGGCACAGAAAAATAAAAGTACGAGAGTCCACTCAAAGTCCACTTCAGTGTATGTAAAAACATTTTTTTCTGTATTTAGAATCCATGATTTTGAATCATTTAGGTATAGTTAATGTCAAATGAAAAGAGTCAATGGAGCCTGTTATTTAAAATCTTTTAAAAACTGAAATTCGGCTAAGATAATATGACCGCAGTTGTCTCAGAAAAATCTTTATTAAAATATTCCATTAACAGCAACATTTTCTTTAAATAATTGTCATTGTAAGTAACTATCTATATATATAAAAAAAAAGAAATACAAAAATGTATTCCCATCATTTACTTTTGCTCTTTGAATGTTGCTTTTATCATCCTTAATACAGATTGGAGTTTGCTAACTAGAGAGAAAAACTGGGATGTAATCTCTCCATCCATTTTCACACTTCATTTAAATCAGTGCCATGTGGGCTATTTGCAGTAAAATTGTACAATGTACGTAATCAGCGTTCTATAGCATTGTTACTGAGGGCCACCTAAATCAGTCATCCAGGATGTTATAGATTCTCAGGTCCTTTCAGTCTCTTTCTTGACTTTTTTTCTTAGAATTCTTGTCTGTTATACATAGAGCTTTGCTTCGACTGTTTTAATAGTATGGTGTAAAAAACATATTATTAAAGGAGATGCAAGCTTCTTAAGATAAAAGTAATACTTTTCATAGACTGAAATACAATTTTTCAAGCAATGCACTAAAGTTTAATTAATCTTCCATTATCATTATTTCTGCACAATTTAAGAACATTGGATTAAAAAAAAAAAGAAAGAAAGGAAACACAGACAGCAGACTAACAGGTTCTATCATGAGTTTAGATATAAAATAAGGTTTAAAATAACAGAACTAGGACCACTGGCCAATACCTGAGATGAAATCAGAATCCGAGGTCTTCTGTGGTATTTACTTCCAACATTTCTTTAAAGAGACTTTTCATTTTCATCAGATTAATGACATTCATGACATTGGCTTTTTACTTGGCTAACTTTCCTTCTTTTTTTCTAATTTATCATATTTTTGATTCAACCCTTCCAGCACCACGGGTATCAGTCTCCCTAGACCTTACTACATGGCTGATGAAGATGATGAGCGGCCTTTCATTTGCTCCTTGCCTGTTGACAACGGCATCATGTCCTGCTTGGATGTCCCAGCCCGTCGTGAAGGAGGCAGAGCCTGTTGTTTGGATAAAGAGGACGTTTTCTACCGCCAGTCCATTGGATTGAGTCCTGAACCTCTGAGCAATGGGAGTATCAGTGTAGCTGGCCTGTGTGTCAACTGGAACCAGTATTACACCCGATGTCATACTGGGAGCAGTAACCCACACAAAGGTGCTATCAATTTTGATAACATTGCCTATGCCTGGATTGTCATATTTCAGGTGAGTACTTTAAACTTCTACAAAATCTTTATCTCTCTTTCTCTGTACTTTTTGTTTAAAACCTTATTTACCCAGAATTATTGGATTATACCCCTTCCTTTCAGAGGTTCATGACAAGACATTATCCTGGTTTTAATATTTAGGTGGGCTCAAGTATTTGACGAGCCATTTCAAGCGCTTCAAGTGGCTCCATGGATTAAAAGCTTGGAACAAAATTGCTTGTGAATCACAGGCAGCAGAATATAAAGCGGGCCAGAAAAAAGTGCCAGCATAAAATTACCTTGAATGTTCTTTGAAAAGTTTAACACAGATCAAATTGTAAAAAAACAAAACATGATTCTTGTCAGTTTACCTCTGGATAGTGATTTATACCATTTACAGTCAAATCCTACATTAATTCACAGATTAGAGAATAAAATAGCATTACCCCTTGATGACTATTTTTGTTTATTAAAAGGCGCTCAAACTAATATAATTGTACATATTTAACAGTATTTTTCTTTTCCTTTTAAGCAGGGCTAATATTACCGTATTTCTGTACAGTTCTGTCTTCAAAGGGCTGTTCAAATTGCTTCATGTCTTATTTCTTTTTGGGATAGATTTCCATCAAACATGATTATTATTAATATTATTAATGATTTTCTAACCAATTGTTAGTGATCTCCCTGGACACTTTCCTTTTCATTCAAGAGGACATTTTGTTATCAGAGTATGTTCATGAAATAGTTTAGGCAACTGTGACATATAGCCAAAAGGCTGTGTATACATCTGTATTGACATTGTACATAAAATGCATGATCAAACTATGGATTCTTAGAATTAAGACTATGCCTAATTTGCTGAGTAATCTGTTTTTGGACACTCCCCGACAACCAGATAAATGCTGACTGAATGTATCTAGAAAAATATTAACCCATAGTAAAATTTTACTCCTTACCATTCCTTTATTTATTTACTACTGCATGAAAATAAATGCTGTTATTTTTTGGACGCAACAGCCAAGTTATGTAAATGCTGTTCATTTTAATTTTTATAATATATAATAGATAGGTTTTGGTATTTAGCATTTATTAAGCATTTTTAAGTACAGGTAGAATTTGTATCAACTGACCTTAACAAAACAAATACTTAATTTTCAATGCATTTAGATGGGAAGTAACAGGTGTATTTACTTGGATTTAATTGTAGTTTAGGGGTATACAGTAGATACAGACAGACAGACAGACAGACAGACAGACAGACAGACAGACAGACAGACAGACATAAATAAAGGTATAGGTACATATATACTTTTTTGTATAAATTTGTGTGTATCAGCGTGTGTTTGTAAGAGAGAGAAACAGAGAGATAGAAGCTTTACTAATTCACAGCTAAAAAAAACAGTCCTTTTCCAATCTGTGTCAAAATTTGGTCCGCGATGTAAATTGTAGGAGCAAGATTTAGTCACAAAAAAAGGCTGCTTTATTCAACTAGTTCTTTGTTATTCAATCCGACCTGATTTCAGCCTTTTGCCAGAAAAGCTGTATTGACTATGAAAATGAAAAGAGGAAAACCAGAGGAGTTGGCTAGTTCTGTTACTTAAATGTTTTATTGTTTCAATAAAAGCTGTATTTAGCTATAAAATAATAAGAAAAGAAATGCAGAAGATTGGAATTTATTTTGAGTTGTGTGTTTTTCTTTTCCTTTAGGTGATTACTCTGGAGGGATGGGTGGAAATTATGTACTATGTTATGGATGCGCACTCTTTCTACAACTTTATCTACTTCATCCTGTTGATAATAGTAAGTCTTTTCTATACTTATAAAAAGCTGAATCATAAAACTACATGTAAAATCAGTTAGCGTAGTCAGACATTCATATTAAGTAGCAATTTTGACAGATACGACAACAGTTGTGGGCTTTAATTTATTTACTGAATAACTCCTTTTATGATGGACCACATACATAACAAGCTAAATACTTTTTTAAAAACAATTGTGTTTTTTTTTTTTCGCTTTTTTGAATGCTTACACTTTCATATTTATATAGAGAGAATTATGCATTCACAACTACAAATATAGAGATAAAAATCGTTTAGTAAGATATAGCAAAAACACTTCATGAAATGAGAGTTGCTGTAGGAGTTTTAATAGCAGAGAAGAGCTTTGGCATAGTGTTATCCATGAGGGCAATTGAATTAAAAAAGAAAAACTTAAAAATTAATAGTGTCAGAAGGAAAAAAGGATTGAATCGTCATTGAACTGAAAGTACCAAGGTAACTGGCATGGAGCAGCAATACCAACATGGAGCAGTCAAAGAAAACAATTTAGCAATGAGCAACCAAGTGTTTCAATTCTGGAAGAGAGTGAAAGAAGACATGGTAAGCAGATGAGACAGTAAGAAGTAAGCAACAACTGAATTAAGGCAGAGAGCTGTGGGAGAACGAAACTATAAACATAAGAACTCAGAATATGATCAACTATGAATTAACTAAATGACAGCATTTAGACTAGTGTGACTAGTTCAAGAGAGATGTTTGTCCCAGCAAGAGTCAATAACTCACATGCAATCCAAAACCAGTCTATGCTGTGGAAACACTGGTATTCCTGTTACCTTAAAGCTCCTATTTAATTGTTACTCGATTATTACTTGCTGTATTGTGTTTAATGTTTTCTTTTTTTTTTATTTATCTATTGGACCATGAGTCCGGAATAAAGTTGATCCATAACAAAGAATTAACAGAGCCAATTAAGACACACAAAAAACCCCAACTTATAATATAAAGCACAAATGAAATAAAACCAAAGTGGCAAAACTGACAACAGAATACTGGAAGATCTATAGAACATAAAAGACAACTAGAAAAATGCTGAAAGAAAAAATCAAAACAAAATTAAAACAAAAACCTTATTTAATAAGTTTGAAAGGAATGAATCGCAATTATTTAAATAGTTTATTTTTTGAGGAGGCTCACATGTTTTACTCCAGATTATTTTAATAAAGCTCTACAATAATTCAATATACAATTCTATACAATTTGATGTGACATTGAAATTGATGGGGAGTGTTGGCCTAGTGGGTTAGAGCAGTGTGCCCCGAGAAGGTTTCAAGTACCTGGTTTGATCCCCACAGCCTGGATGCCACACAATGGCAGCCCACTGATCCCCAAGGGGATGGGTTTCGTGCATAGAGTGAATTTCCCCATTGCGGGACAATAAAGGGATTTACATTAACATTACAAATATATTTCTTGTAATTTATTTTCACTGCAGTCTGTGGTTACAGCGTTTGTCAATGAGTGAGCGACAACAGACACTACATACAGGGAAACAGTGCTCAGCTGTAGGCTGTACTGCCCATCTGCTAAGCTCCACTGCAGTTTTTACAGACAAATTAGCACCAATGTTAATCATGAAGCTGTCATGACTAAGGAAATATTGTTTGCGGGCAGACCATGTAGAAAACATGTTGTTCGTAAAGCAACAGCTTTTTGCACAGCTTGGATTAGAAGAGTTTAGAGCAGCCTTTACATGAGAGACCCCAAGATTGTTGTTTTACTAAGGATACAAAGTGCAAAATAAACCAAGCTTCTTTTAACATATAGAACACCATAAATCAAGATTAGAACAAGGGGGTATGGCTGTGAGAGAGTAAGAAATATTATCAAGGATAGGAAAAATAAATGGTACTCATTTTAAATGACGGCCTACAGAATCAAAAAGGATTTTACCAAAAGTTGGATTTTTAAAAATGGGAAACTTTAGTTTGTATTTTCAGAGCTAGTTATGAGTTTTTCAGTTGTTCTGCTTATTTATTATAGTGATTTGTGAACATAGTCTCTAAGTATTAGGTATTTTTGTCCTCTTGAACAAATAAAACTCATTTGTGAAAAAAGGAGACAATGTTAAAGAGACTGGTAGAGGCAGGGAGCCATGGATTGGGAAATATGAGGAGGAAGCCATAATCACCTAGTTAAAAGTGCTTTTAATCTGTTGAGCTTGTAGATTTAAAAAAATTGCTTTAGATGTTTTTTTTTTTTTTTATTAAACCCTAACATGAGATGGCTGAGCTGGGGGAGAAGAGGAAATAAGTATAGACTGGGTGTATCTTTCGTTTGGTAGTCAAATGGGTAGTCACATGTTGGAGGGCTGGGAGGTATGCTTCTTTTCTATTTCAAGCCATGCAGTGGTCTCTCAGGAGATAATGACCAATGCGTAACATTTTTAAGATGAAATACGAATTAATAATATTTAAGTTTTGGTTAGCCCATGTCTCCTTGTACTTGTAGATTTTCAGCTCCTGTGCTGCTAAACCATGGCTCCTCTTGTCGGAGTCTCTCCTTTAGTAAAGACAGCCAGATATTCAGCTTTAATTGCTCGCATTATCTATGGTAAAAAGAGATATGATCATCTAAAGCTCATTGCAGCGGAGGAAAAGAGGATTGAGGAGGAGGAGAAAGCTCACAAGGAGAAGTAGAGGATTGCCAAGCAACTAGCAGAAGCAAATGGAGAAACCATCCTGAAGTAAAGCAGTGGACGTCTCTGATATATCCTCATCCTTGGGCACTTTCTACTCTCCTCCTCCACCCTACCCCAGTGGTTCACTGTTACAATACAATCAATACACCCTACCCCCTCTGAAGCTCCAGTACCTATTTGGATCCATCAGAAATAAAGTGTTTCCCTCAGATTCTGCATCTCTCAGAAATAAAATTCATCTTTCTTTTGAAGTGGTGTCATAAGAACAAAAGAAGACTAAATATTTGTTGTATATTTCCCTTATAATATACAATAACATATAAATAAAATATATAATATACAATAATAACTGTTCATTCTATTAAAGAAGAACCTGTTGACCAGGGAAATCTGATCAACACATTTTAGATCCTCACTCTTTGTACAACATAATGAACAGTTTAAATGAAAAAAAAGAAGGAAAAAAAAGAATTAGAAGTATTTATTTAATACCCATCCCTGCCAGCTTTCTTATTGCTGTTCTGACGTATGTTTCCGATCTTTACATTGTTGGATCTCTTAGTTGTATCATAGTTTCAACTACCTGATGCCTAAGCTAAAGATATTGCATTGTTCAATATTTAATTGATAATGAAATTGGTGCATTTAAAAAACATTTTCTTCTTAAATGCCATACATTCATTTTATAGACTATAAAAATACTGTTTCTAAAAACAGCATAAAAATGCATAAAAACTTGAGCAAAATCAGCTAGAATATTTTAACGTGAGATAAAAAAAAAAAAAAAACATTAACTGGCTTCAAGTTTGCCCTGCGATGGACTGGCGACCTGTCCAGGGTGTACCACACCTCTTGCCCATAGACAGATAAGCAGCAGCACCCCTCGCGACCCAGCTTGGGATAAGTGTGATGGAAATTGGATGGATGAATTCCAGTTTCTATTTAATTTATGATATCACTTAACAGTAAGCAATTGTAAAGTGTTTCAGCTGAACCGACTGGGTTGGATCATTTATAAATATCTCAAATTCTAGGTGCTCATGAAAGCACCTGAAACATGTTTAAATGTTTTTAGGGTCGATCTAATATAACTGCATGTTAGTTAAAAAGTTATTTTTTTAAAAACAGTTTCCTGTGAAATAGGCCTCCAGCAAAGATGAGCCAACTAGTCATACAAAATGTCTATCGGCTATGGACGGCCAGGCTGGGTATTGTTATTCACTTTATTTTATGTTTCAAAAGCTAAACAGATATTTCAACTATCTTTTTCACAAATAATTGTTTTATTTGCCCATGCTGCTAGGTCAGTTGTGTGTGACTTTCTTAAATGATAGGTGGACTGTCACTATAAGTTTGTGTAATGCATTAGTGCGGTAGTAAAACAGAGCTTGATGATGCTGCCAACATTCTTCTAATGAGAACACATTTATGGAAGATTTATGTTATGACGGTAACTTGGAATTATTTAGTCATTGAAACAGGAAAGGATGAAAATCTAAAACTAAACTGTATGTTTTTGCCTTTTTTTTTTTACAAAATCTAAAGGTTTACAAAAATTTTTTTTGCTAAATCTAATTATCAAAATTGAAGAAAATAACGCAGATGTAAATATTTAATGATATAGGTGGGAATTAATTTGGCAGTTGACAGGTATTGATTGATTCTTTTGTCCTCTGTGTCTTACCTGCATGCATAGCGATGCGTGCCCCCTCACAAATCCCTGCAAACACTTGCAGTCTGTCAGTGTCACATTGAGAGCTGAGCTCAAATCCCTAAAGAATCCTCCCTTTTGTTCACATAAAACACTTTTAATTCCAGTCCTTTAGCTTCTCTATGTGTGCCACAGTATGCGTTTGTGTCTGAGCGTTGATGCGTATTTTCCCTGGTATATTTCTGTTTTAGCCTGTTGGAGAGTGCTTAGATATATGTGTGGAAGTGTTATCATAATGCAGCGTGACTGCTAGCTCCAGCTACTCTGCTACCCAGGGGCTGTCTTGTCTTTTTTATTAGACTTTTAATTGCCTCGCCTTCTGAGGCAGACACGAGCCTTTCCACACTTTTACTCTCTCTCCTATTTTCTCACCGTCTCTTCATTCTTTAACTTGTCACTTCTCCTAGTATCACTCCAGCTTCCTGAATCTGCCAATCTCTGCTCTCTGCACTATCTAAACATTTCAGACTAGTAACGTTTCCCCCCCAACTCTACCCTCTCTCTCCTCAAGTCCATCTTCCATACCCCTTTCTCCTGTGAGACTTACTATTTCTTTGTACCTTTTTTTGTGTTCTCTGTTTTCTAGCACCCCTCTTAGTCTCTTTTGCTGCCG